TTTTCTTTTTGGTTTTGGTTTTTCAAGATAGGGTTTCTCTGTGGCTTTGGAAGCTGTCCTGGAACTTGCTTTGTAGACCAGTCTGGCCTCAAACTCACAGAGATCCGCCTGCCTCTGCCTCCTGAGTGCTGGGATTAAAGGTGTGCGCCACCAACGCCCCACTCCATCTTACATTTTTTAAGTGCTATTAATTGTCCTCTCATTTCAATTCAGCTTGCTTCTGTTTCTCTTTCTGCTGTATTTACTTCTACATGCTAACATGTGAGTTCTCAATTACAGCCAGTAGAGGGCGGTGTGAGAAAGCATAATAACAATGGTATTACTGCTCAATGCCTATTAATCCAAAATTGCTAACTTAGTCTGTCATGAGCCTGAAGCCTGGGTAGCCAAATAGTAATTTCAATTGCAATGACATGTTCCGGAGAGTTTCTGCTTCCTGAGATGTAGTCAGTAGGGCTGCTGGCTGTAAGGCAGAGACCTGTTCACAGCAGAGAATCACAAAGGCGTTTAAAGAGAGGTGTTAGTTAAATGAAAAGTGATGAGGCTTGCAGCCTAGGTTAGGAATCGACTGATTTTTACCATGATTTGTAGAGTAGGGTAATAACCAATTCCTTACTGATGTTTACTACAGAATGTGTAGTCATTGAAATCAACCAGACTAAAAAACATGCCTTAAAAAAAAAAAAAAAAGTATGTATCCCTGGCTGGGCTGAAACTCAGAGATCTGTCTACCTGGGATGAAAGGCGTGCTCTACCATGCCTGGTGGTGAAAATGTGCCTTTAAAGCATGGTCTGAGGACAGGTTTATAGAATTTCTGTTCTGTTCTTTATGAGAAGAGTTCATGTTTACCTTTGTAGAGGGAGGGAGAACCTGTGTGTGTGTGTGTGTGTGTGTGTGTGTGTGTGTGTGTATCTTTGTTGCTTCAAAATGGTTAATGTTGAGATATAAAGATTGTCTCAATCTAGGTTTCTGAATGCACATAGATGTGCATGGTGGTTTGGGTAAACAATCTCAATGCTATGGAAACATCACCATGTGCTTTTTTGTTTGGGGATTGGCTTTTTGTTCGTTCATTTGCTTTTGAGATTTTATTTTTATTTTATGTGTATAGCTGTTTTGCCTGCACATTTGTCTGTGTACCATGTACATACATGGCCTGCAGAGGCCAGACGAGTGCATTGATCCTCTGGCACTGGAGTCAGAGACAGTTGTTAGCTGTCATGTGGATGCTGGAAATCAAATCTCAGTCCTCTGGGAGAATAGCCAGCACTTTTAACAAGCCAGTCTTCTCTCTAGCCTCCACTGTATACATATACATATGCATACACGTATACATTTATGCTGCCAGTAGCTCTGTAACTTTTGTTTACATTTTCATTTGTAATAATGAATTTTACTCTTGCATTTCCCCAATAGACCTTATTAGAAAACATTAGTCCCTGTTAATATTGACCTCAATTGTGAAGTTACAAAATCACCTGGCTTATATTAGAATTGAACCAGTGGATATTTGCTTATGAAATAAAAAGAGCAGAAAAACAAACAGTCATGTGTTCCCCCAGAGGCAGCAATATTTGAGTTTCTAATATACAGTTAAATTTTTGAATGTAGACCTTTCTGGGTGAAGTTTATGTAGGAGAGCCTAATTGTTGGGTCACATATGAAGCACCTTGGTATTTTCTGAATGAAATTCAGAATTTTCTGGTGTGTGTGTGTGTGGGTGTGTGTGTGTGTGTGCGCGCGCGCGCGCGCGCGCGCGCGCGCGCGCGCGCGCGCGCGCGCGCGCGCGCGCGCGCGCGCGCGCGCGCGCGCGCGCGCGCGCGCGCGCGCGCGCGCGCGCGCGCGCGCGCGTGTACGCTCTGAGCTGTCATTTAGTGATTCCCTTTTTAACATACACAGACTAGGTTTTAAAACAGGTTTTAAATATGAAACTTGGTAACCAATTAAAAGATTGATGGTTTTCTTGTTCCCCAACCCAGTTAATACGCTGTTAAATGTGAAATTAAGTGAAACAGAAAACGGCAAGCACGTCTCTATCCTGGATCTGCCTGGTGACGTTCTTATCATCCCTCAAGCCACCCTCGGGGGCAGAGTGAAAGGAAGAAGCATGCAGTATCACTCTAACTCTGGGAAGGAGGAAGGCTTAGAACTGTATTCCCAGTTCGTGTGTCTGTGTGAAAAAGCGTTAGCCGCCAACACCAAGTGTGCCGAGGCAGGGGTGGTAGTGGCGCACGGCACTTATGGGAACAGGCAAGTGTTAAAGCTGGACACCAATGGACCATACACGCACCTAATTGAGTTCTGAAAGATTTGTTTCCACATTCCACATTCGTTTCCAGTCTTCCTGGTATAAAAGAACCTGGACTCTTCCTAGTTTTTTTTTTGGTTTTTTGTTTTTGTTTTCCTTTCATCTTGAAGACTCAGATCTGCAAGAAAACCCTGGATCCACACTGGGCATGGTGGCACATTCCTTTAATCCTGGCCCTCGAGAGGCAGAGACAGGCAGATTTCTGGCGCTTGGAGGTCATCCTGGTCAACATAGCAAACTCAAGGACAGCCAGGACTATATCAAGAGACCCTGACTCAAAAATAAAGAAATGGGAAAAATAAATGAGTCATTTGTAAAAGGCAACACTGTTTTTTTGCAAACTCCTCTGACTTGACTTTATGTTTTTTAAGAGTGTAAAGTAGAGCATAGTGATGACTCAGTAGTGAAGAGGTTTTGCTATGCTTCCAGAGGACCTGGGTTCAGTGCCCATCATGGATGGATCCTAACAGTCTATACAGGGCTCCCATATGTACAAGCATACACATAAATAAAAAGTAAATATTAGAAACTCTAAAGTGTTTTGAAAGTGAAAAATAAATATTTCTAATTACCAGAATTAGATGTCTGAGGTAGCGGAAGAGTCTCCCCTATTCTGTTCTGACACTTTAAATTCTGGTTGCACACACACCCTGAAATCCCTTTTATTAAGCATCTGAGGTAGTGGAGGAATCTTCCTTAGTCTGCTCTGACACTTTAAATTCCGGTTGCACACACACCCTGAAATCCCTTTTTCATAGCTTTCCTGTACTGTTCTATTTTGGAACTTAAGAATCAATAGCTTGAGCTCATTATCCTTAACTTTTGTTTTATTGATTCACAATACAGTTGTTGAAATGTAATAAACTATTCATAAGCTTAGAAACCCCATTTTTTCTTAAATCTCCTTCAAGGACATGTGCGTGTCTTTCAAAAAGATTACATTACTTATTTTAAGTCATTTTGATTTTGTGCCTAGGTAAAATGCTGACTCACAGCCCTAGATGGAGTTGAAGCAATTCTTACAAAAACTGCCTGAGATGCTTGTGGAGAAAGGCACTCCAAGTTCATGGCAGGTTGTTAATTAGAAATGATGGCAGATAGGGGAGGAATCAGGAAAAATAATAGATTTGGAAATGACTTCACCTTTACTTTTTGTAGCTTTTTTGCCCAAGGGGCTCAAAAACCCATCAATATACACATTTGATTTTCATATCTATAATGAGGATAGCACTATACACAGAAAAGTCATTTTCCCCAGGTCATCCAATACAGAAGAGTCATCTCCTTCCTCCAACTTCTATAATGAGACTTGTTGCCAGTTAATTCGTTTATTTACTAAATTAGGCACAAGTTGAATTGTCCCTAATGTAGGTGCTTTTTTGCCTCAGTTTTTCTAAGATTTTAGAATGTTTCAAACAATATACTTCCTAAATATTTTTCAGAGGTTTATTTTTTACCGTGTGTGTCTGTCTGTAGGTATATCCACGTGAGTGCAGGGGCCCTTGGAGACTAGGGGCTCCCCTGGAGCTGGAGTTACGGGTGGTTGTGCCTGATGTGGCTGCTAAGACAAGCAACACATGCTCTTAACCTCTGAGCCATCTCTCCAAGCACCCCTGAGTGTTTTTTTTTAATTTTCAATTTAGAATCTGGTAACCACTTGTAGAAAATAATGCATATAAGATGCAACAGATGCGGTTTTAATGTTTTGAACACACTCATGTAAAGTAAAGTGGGGGAACTGGAGAGGTGGCTCAGTGGTTAAGAGCATGCACTCTCCAAAGACCAGAGTTCAGCTCCCAGCACCCACATCAGACAAGTCACAGCATCCTGTAACTCCGGCTCTGCCCTGCACTCACATGTGCACATGTGCACACACACACAATTTTTTTAAAATCTTAAAAAGCAAAATGAAGCACACCTTTATCGTTACTTCAAATTATATAAAAAGGGCAGAGGCATGCATGCAGTTCCCATCCAGGCCAAAACACAGCATCAGATTCTCAAGAATTAGAGTTACAGACAATTATTACCTGGCTGCTGGCCACCATGTGGGTGCTGGGAACTGAACCCAAGTCCTTTAGAAGAGCAGCCAGGGCTCTTAACCACTGAGTAATCTCTGCAGCCCTACAACCTATTAGTTGATTGAAATAAGAGTAGATTCTGCAGGGGAAGAGTTAGAAAAGTTTTCATTTTGAGCACTAACCCTTGAGAATGATTTTAAATATGTGTTCATTTTGATGGCTCATATACCTTCTTGCAAGCTGTCTTCAAGGCAGTGTTTCTATAACATGTCTTTATCTACAGCACTGCACTGCTTAGAAACTGTTGTAACTCTTTATCTACAGGACAAAGTCTACACATCAAAGGTTGGAATCAGGTTTCCCCTATAGTCCATCAACTGTGGTGAGGTCTGCTCACCAAGAGTAAAAATTAACACAACATTCTCTTGTGATAAAAGTGTGGTTGTTATTCTCCAAGACAAGCGCCGAAGAATGCTGTAGTATTTGATACTGCTATTCGGTAACTTTTATTCTGCCAGTATGGAGCCAACAGATCATTAACATAGACACTATTCATAAGCCAGAACCTTGGGTAGCAACTTGCAAAGAAAGAACAATGTCCAAGAGGCCAAAAACTCTAAAGATAGCAGAGAGGTAGAGAGACAAGAAACATTGTTGAGCAAAGGTACTTTTCAATACATAAACAAGAGGCCAGCAAGATGGCCGGGAGTAAAAGTACTTGCTACCAAGATGGCTCAGGGATAAAGATACCTGCTACCTAGCTTAACGATCTGAGTTCAATTCCTGGGGCCCATGTGGCAGAAAGAGAGAACCAAATCCCATGAGTTGCCCTCTGACCTCCGTATGAACATTGTGACACTTGTGCACATTTTCATGAAATCAGTCGATAAGATATGAAAAACAATTGGAAATACTAAAGAAAAATTAAATAACATAAGATCAGAGGAGACACTTGTGGCCTAAAAGTTAAGAGTTTTTAGAATGGGTAGTGGTGGCACAAGCTTTTAATCCCAGCACAAGCAGTGGCAGGTGCATCTCTATGAGTTCTAGGCTAGCCTGGTCTGCACAGAAAGTTTCAGGATGGCCAAGGCTACACTGAGAAACCCTGTCTCAAAAAAAAAAAAAAAAAAAAAGTTTTCAGAGCTTAGAAGACAATTGAAATGTGTCTTACTTACTTTTCTATTGCTGTGAATAGACACCATGAGCAAAGGAACATGAAGAGTTTATTGGGGGCTTTCTTACAATCCCAGGGGATTATTCCATAACCACCGTGGTGGGGTGGCAGTGGGCAGGCAGGCATAATGCCAGAGCAGTAGCTGAGAGCTTACATATTGAGGCAATAACCATGAGGCAGACAGCCAACTAGAATGGTATAGGCTCTTGAAACCTCAAAGCTACCCTCAGTGACATAGCTCCTCCAACAAGGCCACACCTCCTAATCCTTCCCAAACTGTTCCACCAACTGGGGTTCAAGCGATCAAACGTTTGTATGAGCCTGTTGCAGAGATTCTCATTCTAACCATCACAGAGTCTTTGCAACAGTAGGAACTCTGAAATTTCTGTAGAAGATAGCATCTCAGCTTGTATGGGACTCACCAAGAGAATCTCTTGAAATGCAGTTCTAAATCACAACCTTAGAAGTCAAAAGCTGTCTAGTCACCGATCTACCTGCCGGATGATTCTTGCACACACCAAAATCCCAGACCCATCACTCAGAACCAAGTCCAGACTTCAAAGGCTGATACCAGGGGGGTTTATTTTGGTTTTTTACAGTTATTTATAGTGAGGGGATGCATGCCACAAAGCCGGTATGGATGTCAAACGACATTTGCAGGAATTGGTTCTTTCCTTCCATCATGCGAGTCCCGGGGATTGAACTCAGGTAGACAGGCCTGGCAGCAAGTGCCTTTACCCATTGAACTACCTCACCTGCCCTGGTCTTTTGTAACTTGGCTCCAGCTCACCTTTCAAAACTTCCCTCCCACACTGCCCTCAGAGCTTCTTTAGTGTGAGTCTAGCATCATTTTTCAAGTCACACCCTTACCTCATTGCATTCTCTTCCCCTCTAAATCCATCATCATTTGCTCTGTAGCTTCAGACAGTCTCTTTCATCCCTACAGTAATTTCTGTTGCCATCATCCTTCACATTAGTCTTGAAACCTGTGATGTGTTATGAGATTGAGTACTTTTTACTTCTGGGCTGTACGAGAATATTAACGTGGAGACACAGAACAATAGTGGGCAGACAGCATACCGTTCAAGTATTTTATCCTACAGCTTTGCCACAGTGCTGCACCTGTTACCATGCTTGGCAGTTCTCAGTGAGCTCTATCAGAGGCAATGGTGGAGATATGCCAGTGAGCAGAATACTCTTGATGTTGGTCCAATTATATTGTTGATTCACAGTGGATTTCTTAGTTATAAAGATTGGAGCTATAAGAAGCAGGTTTAATATAGCTACACCTTGCTTTGCTATAATATATGATGCCAGAAGAATGCTATGCCAACAAGAGCAAACGATTTGTGTATTGTCTCAAGGCTCACTCTATAGTATCTTTCTCCTGAAGTACAGCTGTATTTGTATGAAGTTTTGTCTATAAAACAGTGTTCAAAAAGCAAATACCTTTAAAATACACAAGTTAAATGCCATGTAAGGAAACATATTGTAGTCTTTTTATAAATACTAATTTTGATGCAGCAAGATTTATTAGCACACCCCCCCATCTAATCTCAGAATAAAGCAGTTCTGTGGTATGCAACACAAACAGCAAGTGATGAGATAAATGTCATCCTGTTTGTTTTAGATAGGGTCTCACTATGTAGCCCTGACTGTCCCCAAACTCACTATGTAGATCAAGCTGCCCATGAACTCACAGATATATGCCTACCCCGTCTCTCAAATGATTAATAAAAGTATGCATCACTATAATCCCATGGTCCTACTTTTAACTGTTGTTTTTTAAAAGTTATGGAAGCATGAATGAATTTGCTTCACAGGGGCTCAGGGCGAGAAGGGATTCCTCAAGGAAGAAGGTCCCCATGCCAGGTGAGCAGCAAACCAGGACAAGACACCTGGCGGGCATCAGAGACCGAGTATACAGGAGCCTGGAGATCTCCAGATCTAACCTAGCCACACAACTGGAAGGTGGAGAGGATGCTTGCTCTCCTGACACTTGCATGACAAGCCTCAAGAACACTAGTGTGGAAGACAGATGCTAGCTCCCAGAAGGCTGCCTCTGAGTTCTACAGAGCCTCCTGTGGCTGCCTGCTGTGCTACGTGTCAGAGGGGACCAGGAAACAGCAAACCCCTGCCTATCCCAGGATGCCTGTGAATTAGAATCTCCAGACAGTCCTCTGAAGTAACAATAAAAGCTGGTGAGTACAATAAGTAGCCAGAGCGTGTGCCTCAGGCTTTAGAAGGGTGGGACAAGGTAGGCAGGGATCTCAGTTGAGAGAGCATTAAGCATCTGAGATCTATGTGAGAGGCTGAGTTCTCCGCCCCCCCCCCAGGGTCCCAACTGGCCTCTTGAAAGCAGCACAGACACCAATGGACAAGATCTTCAGGTGGGTGTTAGTGCAGGACACTGGTCATGTCAGAAAGGGGTTTTACTGACTGACACTGGGCTTCAAAGGGCCTGAGTGGGCTAGGATTTGATGAGAGAAAAGGGGTCCACATTGTGGAATATTAGTTTAAGATGTGTTACATTCACTTATGCTGTGGAATATTTGTTTAATGATGCAAAGATGTGTTGTATTCTTTTATGTTGCATTTGTTTAGCTCTGTAAAGCTGTTACTTTGCCTGTCTAAAACACCTGACTGGTCTAATAAAGAACTGAATGGCTAATAGCTTGGCAGGAGAGGGATAGGTGGGGCTGCCAGGCACAGAGTGTAAATAGGAGAAATCTAGACTCAAGAAAAGAGAGAGATCAAGAAGTGAGAAAAGGAGGAGAGGAAGGTGCCAGGGGCCAGCCACACAGCCAGCCACAGAGTAAGAAGGAAAGGAAAATGTATAGAGTAAAAAGAGGTAAAAATTCCAAAGTCGCTAGGTGGCGGCGGCGGCACACGCCTTGAATCCCAGCACTCAGAAGGCAGAGGCAAGTGGATCTCTGTGAGTTCAAAGCCAGCCTGGGCTACAAAGTGAATTCCAGAACAGCTAGGACTACACAGAGAAACCCTGTCTCGAAAATCAAACAAAAATCAAAACAAAACAAAAAAGCCCAGAGCCAAAATGTAGTTAAAGAGAGATGGGATAATGTGTTAGAAAGCTGACTAGAAACAAGCCAAGGGAAGGCCAGGCATTCATAAGTAAGAATAAGTCTCCACGTATTTATTTGAGAACTGGGCGGTGCTCCCCCAAACAGGGAAGGAAAAAAAGGCATTCATAAGTAAGAATAAGTCTCCACGTATTTATTTGAGAACTGGGTGGTGCTCCCCCAAACAGGGAAGGAAAAAAAAAACAAAAAACAAAAAACAAAAAACTACAGGTGCATAACAATGTAGAGCCAGGAAGGAGACAAAAAAGGAGAAGGTGACAACAGGACTACAAGAAGTCAGTCTGTCCCCTAAAGCCCAGGTAACACGAGGATGGAATCCTAGAGCAGGTCATGGTGATGCATGCCTTCAGTCTCAGCACATGGGAGGAGAGGTCTGCAGAGCTCTCTGAGTTCAACTGCAGCCTGAGCAACAGAGTTCCAGTCAAGCCAGGAACTTGGGATGAGATGGTGGCTCAAAGAAAGAAAATTGGGTTTAAATACAGGTCTAGTATGTTGTGAGAAAATCCACAGAGGTGACACTACTGAAAAACTGTGCCTGCATCCCTGGAACCAAGGACCGCATGGTTGCATGACTGGAGACTCCATAGCCTAGATTCTCTAAATATGTAGCAAAATCTTCTTTTCTCACCATACAGGTTGTGCTTTCGAGTTATAGAACAGGATATTCTTCTGGGTGACTCTATGTGACCCATCAGTTAAGGAGGGCAGATTGGGAAGTGTCGGGAGCCGAGAACTGATTTCATTAGATGCTAGCTGATTTGCTGTTGAATGGCATGGCCTCAGTGGAGAATGTCCCCTAGTTTTGTACCTCTACAGAACTAAGCATTTGAATAGGCCTGTACCAGGGTAGAGGGCTAGGTCTTCCTGACAGAGGGTGAGGACAGAAGGTTAGGAGATATCTGCTGAGAGGGCTACAGGAGGAGAGACGGCTGAGAAATCTGCTGATAGCCCCAAGGGAGATGGAAGAGAAACAGTCTCAGGGTCAGGGAAGGATGGTTAGAAAG